ATGAACACCCCATCCGAACGGTTGTAGTGTCAACTGTACAGTTTGTCTTGACTGATTAGTTGCACTAGTACATTTATGTATTAAACAGGATCCCAGAGAGGAGAAGTTCATTTTATACTGATCGTCGTAAATGAACCAGGCCTAGGTTAATTACTGCGTTCTCTTAACCCGTAAGATATTAAACAGGCAGATATATATAATATATATTACTTTGATTCACATGGGTGAGGTTCAGTTCGCTGGATTAATATTCCTACTGTTTTGGGTAATATTATTATATATAGGATGTGTTGTTAGGATATTTACGGTCACCATGTGCGTTAGTTTGATGATGTCCCCGGAGTGAGTTCATGAAGGATTGTTATGCTAAACCCTGCAGGTGGATTAAGTTCCGGCATAATAGAATGTGGTGAACGAGCGCTAGCTCCGGTGAAATAATAATAAATTAATTAATTCTTGATTGTCAGTAATCGAATTAATTAATGGACATTATATCTTAAACGTGGGGAGGTAAATCGAGTAATTATTATTGGAGTCTCAAATGTAATTTGGGATAGGAAAATAGAGTGCAATAATATAATGTTGCTGGCCCATTAATATTATTTAATTAATTAGGAGTGGGCTTGGCCCACAGTTAGTCTAATTAATTAAGGAGCCATTTTCCTAATCTACTAAGGGTCCCTACTGTAGCTCTATATATATACAACATTAAGCTCATGAGAAGAGAATCCCAATCTCATTCTAACGAGACACGCCCCACGCCTCTCTCTCGCTCTAGATCTCATTCGAGCTTTATCTTCTTCTTGTTGCTCCACTGGTACAAGTAGAAGAAAGGTGTATTGAGTAATACAGTAGAAGATCTGTAGGTAAATCGAGACGAAATATATTTTGACCTACAGAACTAACCGGAAGTCCGATTGAGACGTACAGCATACCCAGACGACCGTCTCGACGAGAGCTTTCCATCGCCGCCGAGATCGCAGCCGTCCGACGCATCACGTATCCTCACGCGCCGCTGGAAGCTCCCAGGCTGCAAAGTTTCGTTTTGATCTGTTTGCATCCGTTTGATCCGATTTGATCTAATTTTGTTCGTGCAACCCAAGACGTGATTTGCGGTCAATCAATTGCGGTCAACCGTTCGTGGTCAACCAAATCTACATAAATTTTAAGCCGTAAGTTCTTTACATCAAACCTTTAGATCCGCTGCGCATAGGTTTACGTTTGCTATTGAATTCGTAAGTTGTACATAACGAGATCCTCACAGATCCCAACATCTTAACCACTAGGCCAAGAGGTCATTGGCTTCCTCTTATTTCATATACTTTGTTGTTTAGACGTGAAAAATTAGTATCATTGCTTGTCATCTCATTTTGTGTGCATGGTTGTTTGTTGAATGTTGTTTGTCATCTTATTTGAAACATTTTTTTTACCTAGTGAAAATTAGATAGTGTTAAAAACCAAGATCTAAAACCCAAAATCGATCAAACTACTAGCTCACTGGTTCGATTAGGGACTGAACCGGTTGGACCAATATTTAATTTATTAATATTTTTAAACAAATACCATATTTTATATAATAAAATTTATATATAAAAATTTGTTAATTAAATATTAAGCTAATTTAAAACATTCAAAATACTTAAAATAACTAATAATAACTTATATATCAATTATATTGAAATATGTATTTTTTATTTTTATTATAAATATTATCAAATTGAAAAAAATATTAGACCGGTTCGACCGGACCTGTTTTTGGCCGGTTCTAACCGGTTTATGACCGATTCGCTAGCAATCAGTTTTTTCCAGTAAATCGGACCGGTTCCCGGTCGGATCGGCCAGTCTTGTCCGATTTTCTAAACCATGCTAAAAACATACATCATACACTATTTTGATTTCAAACATCATACATCTCATATTTATATTTTATTTCAATTTTTGTTATATTGATGATATCAGTAAAATTAGTGTTGAAAGGAACCTCACCAAAACTCCCCTAAATTCTTCATCCCGATGGAGAACTCGACCCAAGTGTCCAAGGTCGCTCACGGGCAGGACATCTGGCCTCTGGAGTGAGAATATTGTGAACATTTGGACCGACTAGGAACCGATCCCTTTTACCATGCTAAACATTGTGAACAGAGACTTATCGTCCATCTTCACCACCAAGTCGCCTGACAAAATCCAGCCGGAGTTAAATGGACGGCGAGTGGGCTGAGGGTGGTCGTCCAAGTGGGCTAAGGTGGTTGGCGTTGGATTGAGCAAAAGAGACGGTGAAAAATGTGCACGGCGGCGGCGAGCGCGGTTGTATTTGTCGGAAAAAATAGGTCGCTAGAAAAATTCGTCGGTTCTGGAGATGGTGGACATTGTCGGATGCGCGGTGGCGCGAGGATTCTGGATGTGTCCTCGGATTTCGGTGGGTCGATGTGAATCGCTAGAAAAATTGAAAAAGGCCGGACTTTGATCAGAATTTTCAAGATCTAAAAACATTGACCGGAACAATTGACGGCCTTACCGAGAAAATTTTCGCCGGAAATTTTAGGAGGTGAATGAGGACGAGAAGAGCTTCAAGATGATGTAAAAAATTTTCCAAAAGGCGGTCGTCGGCGGCAAACGGTGGCAGCGGGCAATGGAGGCGGCGGTTGACCCTGATGTCTGTTTCCGCTAAGGTTGTGAAATTGGATGTTGACCATGTCGATTTAGCTTTAATAATTGAGAATGAATTATCATTTCCCGCCTTTTCTAATCTGGCTATGTAAACCACAACACTCCATGTTAGATTAAAAAATTGTCGCGTCACGTCACATCACTTTTTTCATTCAGAGTGCAGATAAAATGGACTAGAATTAAGAAAATGTCAGATTATAAGACCAAGTTTGAAAGTAGTGAATACCGGAGTGCAAAAATAGATTTTGGCGAATTTATAGTACAAATTTTCAATTTTATCCAGTATTTATAGGATGTCGTGATGATGTGGATTATGTAGGCCACATCAACAAAGTTTGAGATATCCGTCGAAATTCCGTCGAGTTTGACCGAATTTGGGTAATCAGCCCGAAATTTTAATACTTATTGGCTAATACTGCCAAATAAAAAAGATGGTGCTATTATTGCTAGCGTCTAAAAGATACTGGCAATGTTTTGCAATTTAGTCATATATTTTTGTTGATTTTTCTTTATTTAGAAGATTACAAATACAGTAAAAAGAATAACACAAATATTTATATCCATAAATAATAAATAGAAACCCATTAGCCTCATATCTATACTTATATTAAAAGGTATACCATTTACCAGATTTAGTATAAAGAAAAGTCAACAACATTTATTGCATTACTATTTCCGTACTATACAATCTATACTTATATAAAAGGAGATTCTATTTACTACATTTACTATCCAGAAAAGTCAATTGCATTAAATGTCATTACTATTTTGGTATTATAATATTTTATTTATTTAATTAATTTATTTATTTATTTTATTTTAAAAAGGTAAGTATAATAAAAAGATTTTAGTAATAAAAAAATCAAATACCAAATAAAAATGTACATTTTGACTTATTTGATTATATTTGGTATTTGATTATACCAAATATATTCCTATTTAGTATATACATTAACTACTTACTAATGTATTTATTTGTTTTATTTGTCAAAGTTAAGTATAGATTTGTTTATATTATCAAATCATAAAAAAAATATTAAATCCATATTGTAAAAAAAAAATCATATAATTTTATAACAATTCTACTACACTATTTAACAATATTTCTTTTTTATTATATAATAAAATAATAATTAAATATTATATGGTGAACAACAATAAGTAAAACTGTTACTTTCTCTTATATCAAGGGATAAATTTATATGCTAAAATTAAATTTTTATTAGTATAAATGTTTTAGTGAGATAATATATTAATTATTTTACAAGCTAGCCCTAACATGCTCATATTTAATGTTTTAAAAGATGTAAAAAAAAAACTTATAATAACTCTATTGTTTTTTAGACTTAAACGTTGATTAAAAGAGGTAAAAATTCCTAATTTTTTAGACTTAAACGTTGATTAACACCATAGATTGAGAGTTTATATTTAGTAAAATTCCTAATTGTAATAAAAAAATTAATTTTTGCTATATTTTAGAATATCTTTAAATTCATTATAAAAAAAAAAAAAAAAAAACTACAATGAAAAAAGCAAGTCAACTATATATCGATTTGTTGTACTCCTCAAATCACATTCACAATTTGACTACAAGGAAAAGAAACTTATTGATTAAAATATTATTTTGTCAGTAGTCTTAATGTACAAGAGACTTGAAGACTCCACTTGAATATTATAAAACTTTTATTGAACATTGTACAATTTTCTTGCATGTTATAAACTTTTATTGAATATTGCATCTTATAATATAATATTCTCCAATAAATATATCTCGTGCTTCGCACGGGTCACGTACTATATATATCCCGTACATTTTTCTTTATTCATGTATATAATTATAAGTCTAGATAAATAGCCTTAAAATTGTGCACCTCGTGCATCGCACGGGCTCTGTACTAGTCATATAAATATTTGGTAATCGTTATGAACGATTCTTCTATATTCCGAAATTCGGTCCCACTAAACAGACAAAATCAGTTTGGAAATAACCTGATATTAAATACTTCAATATCTAGAACGCTGAGGAACTTGAAGGTCACTTGAGAACAAAAGAGGAGCAAGTTTTAAAGATAACCACAAAAGCCAAAAATGTGCAATTGTGATAAACCAATGGACCAGACAATGAATAAGAAAGAAAACTCCGTGGAACATTTATTACTTGTTTACATGACCAATATCATATACTCCCTCCTATTTTAAATATTTGTCATCCTGGCTATCAACACACTAATTAAGAAATATTTTTCTTTTCAAGTTTAACCCTATTTAATGACACAATTGTGGATGGATGTTCTTGGGAATATGAAGAGACAATAGGTATTGATGGAGGAGTTAAAAGGTAAAAATATGAACAAAATAGACAAAACGACATTTATTTAACAAATGATCAATTAAGCTAGAATGACGAATATTAAAAATAGGAGGGAGTACAAGATACAACTGTTTCGGATGACAATCAGATGGAAAAACTACTTTCTATCAGCAGTTCCAATAAGAAAAAGAATTTATTACACTGACATTCAGCTGTCAAAGCTCACCTTCCAATAAGAAAAAGAATTTATTACAGTGTCTTGCGTTTCTCGGCCTCGAGTTTCCTTAAGGCTGTAGAACTCAATTTGTTTCCACTAAATTCTTCAGGTACTAAATCAACAACTTCAATCTGCACAGTTTTTCACCAAAAAAAAAAAGGTAAAAAAATGGGTTTATAGAGAGCCAACAGGAAACTATCCTTCATGCAGATTGGATGGTGTCATACCTTTAGCTGTGAGAGACCTCTCTCAGCCCTCTTCTTATTAACAGATAATCCCCCAGCAAACGTCTCCTTACTATCAAACAGACAACTCTAGTTATAGCTTGCGCATAATAGACGAACATTTATAATCTGTTGCTCGTCAAAATATGATTTGTAAGTGCACATAATTCACCTCTAGGTGATTTGAACTGATAAATCTACTTACAAATATGATTTGTAAGTGCACATAATCTGTTTCATGTTTTTCCTTTCTCCTAGCAATATCATCTTACGGAATCATTTTGAATAAGTCGCTTGTTTGTAATACAATGGATCTTCTAGAGAAGTCATTGAGACATCTCTAGCCTTCTTGGAAATCCTTGAGGTTTAACTTTAAAAGTAAGAAACGAATGTGACTTTCAAAATTATAAAGGTGCCCTACATTTAGCCATTTTATAAGCAAAAAATATTTCAGAAACCCCTTTCACATTTATAATAGAATACTACAGTCAGCCCCTTAATTAAACTGAATCAAACAAAGGTTACCTTGTGTAATCTAATTTATAGCTGGGTTGTTCAAGTTAGAAGCTTGAACATCATGGGTACTTTTTATTGTTATCTCGTGAAAGAATTCACATATTGACATCACATTATAATCCCCGGAATGAAAGAAGACGAGGTATGAATGAAAGCAAAGTAGTATAAAGAGACATGATTGGAGAGGATAATCCGTAAAGGGTTAGTAATCGAAGGAAAAATATCAGATGAAGTAATTTCTCAGGAACTGTACTGACCTTACAACAATAGCCTCCAAATTATTATCAACAATTGATGGACCATAAGGATCCATAATTGGTTCTGCTTGCACAACCAGCTATTGTTTAACTGCCTACAGTGGAAAAACAAGGAAAATGATTAAATGTTATCTTCATGACTATTGACAGTAGAACATGGAGAATTCAGCAGTCCTAAATAAAGAAGACTAAAGTAGTCATCTGGCCTGATTTACTAAGTAACAGTAAAAATCAAAATGGTAATGCTTGACCCTTTCTCATCTTCACAAAATGGTAATGCTCTACTGTTAAATAGAGCATGTGAGTTGGGACTACTACTACTACTACTACTACTACAATAATATTATTATTATTATTATTATTATTATTATTATTATTATTATTATTATTATTAGCATTTATNAAAACAGGAAGCATCTGCCAGGTACCTTAATGTAATCTTCAACGTTTTTTTCACTCTTTGCTCAATTGGCTCTATCAAATCAGAATACTGCACGGAAAATGGAAAGAAGGGTTCAAAAACATCATAATTTCCACTTTTTCACCAGAACATAATGATAAGATGCAAGAAATTTTAACATGTTAAAACTTAACCAGCCTTAAAAATCAGAGGTATTATTCAACTCAATGTAGCCCTACATTTCCAAGTCTTATACATAGTTAACTTGAAAATGCTCATCTATTTTTTGCATTCCAGAGTACTAAAGGCTATAGAAATTGTCCGAAAATCATGGACGATTCTTCACATGATCAAAGAAATACTAATTCATAACACGTCGACTCACCAGGAATGAAAAAGCAAGAGCCTTAACTAAAACAGACTTACATCAATAGATTCAACTATAACGCTGGACGAATATAGATCACTCAGACTTCACACATAACTAAGTTTTTTTCATGCCTGCACACACACACACGCGCGCGCGCACACACATACATATGATATGCAATCAATTTAAACTTCCATAAAGATCTCAAGTAAAGAAATAATGCAAACTGAACTTGCTGTTTGAGCCCTTCAAGTATCTTTACTAACTTACTGATGTGCATATCTATTGAGTGCATGAAACATCAAAATATATACCTGACAAAAGGTGAAAAGAAAAGAAAGCAAAAGAGAAGAAAAAGAAAAATGAACACGAGTAGTTCCATTCTACCTTAGTAACTACACAGATATATCTCAACATTCATTCCAAATTCCACGAAATTAAGCACTTAAGCACAGTAATTAGGCTCCTCTCTATTTTTGATTGAGAAACTACAAACTCAAAACAACTTTAAACTTCTCTGGTCCTTGCTTTCTTCCTCCTGAGAATGGTGTCAGTTGTTTGGCAAATTCGACAACTAATTTGGTTTCGAAATCTTAATATTGTGAACAAATACTTGAAATACTACCCAAATAAGTAGTGTCGTGTCTACTTTCTAAGACTCTAACAACCATCAAATAAGATCTCATTTTTTCCCTTTTCTTCTTCTAGGAAAAATCATGAAATTGTCGAGCCAAATATATTCCGCAAGACAAACTACTCTGGTAATCCACTTCCTCAGTCTTTATCACATATCTATAAATAGTACCTCACATAGGAACTCCTCTTCTTTTCTTTTGGGAAAGAAACAATTAACAGATTAATCCACGATATATACCAGACTAGTGTATTGGTAAACAGCTACTCATTTTCATCCCCCCTTTTCAGTTACAAAAATAAGAGATCTCTTCCATTCTTCCCTATTTGGGAGGGAAAAATGAATTGATAGAAATATAATGCATTGCACAAGTCAAGGGTCCCCTATCCGAATTTGGAGATCACAAATTTTGTATAGGACAATCTAATTTCAAGCAACCCAATCAAGCTCCAATAACAGGAGAAAGAGGGGGCAACCATTGGACAAAATAAAAATTAACAAGAAAAATCATGTCTGCCCAGGCATAAATAAACACATCACTCCCAACACATCTGATCGTCACAAGCTTGTCCTCACGAATTAAATGCCCTCANTGAAAAAAAAAAAAAAAAAGATATTACAACTACTTCACAAGATCAAATTAACTAGTCGTCACCTGTTTATTAGCGAGCATGGGGCCATCGCAAACGCCAACTACGATTCAATCCTTCGCCACCGCAGCCGCAGCCTGCAAAATTATGAGACTATCATCGGAAGATCATTGAATAAAATACGCGGACAGCTGTCCCCCACGGACCTTGAGGAATTGGCGATGGCCGCCATGCAAGCGGTAGAAGGTGCCACCGAGAACCACCGAGCCGTACGAATCAGGCGGCAGTAGGCTTGAATTAGGACCTGAATTATCATTCGAACTAGCCATTTTACTTTTGGACTTCTACATAGTTAAAGGTTGGAGTTTATGGCTGGCTTGAAACTGGGCAAACGGAACTGGGGAATAACATAATGCCATTAATGTTTGCCGTTTAAAAATAGAATCTGCGCGTGGACTGGAATTTTGGATGGTTTGGCATCGGCTAGTAGTAGTGGCTAATTTGAAAATTTAAATGTAATAGTTTGTAATCATTAAACAGCAAGGCCAAATTTTTAATCCTCAATTTGAAAACTGAATATTGAAACAAATTTTACCACAATAATCCAAACTATTTCAAAGAAATAAATTTAGAGCTCCACCTACTGAATAATGAAAACAGACCAATTTTCTAAAGACGAGAAAGGAAAAATAAAATAAAATAAAATAAGCTTCTAAAACCGCACAAAAATATTTAGAAGGAACAAAAAGTCAGAAAAGGACCTTAGAAATGCAGGCATCGAAAGATTGCAGAATCAGATCGCGAGTAATTATGCACTGAAGGGCCCAGATTCAGTTCATACAATCCGCCTCCATTTATCAAGTAAAAGGAACAAATTTAAACCCGGCACCGGCGGACGAGACAGATGATAGCAGCAAAATTCTTTCAGGAAAAAGGGCTTTCTCCCCTACAAAGTTTTCCAGCTATATGGTTGTGAGTAGTATTAAATCCTTGTAAGTTGCAACCAAATTGTCGAGTTTTGTGTTTTCTTATTTTCGTCTCCGCCATTTCCGTTTGTGATGTGATAACCTTATTGGTCCGTACATGAAGGTCGTTACCGATTTTATGGAGGAGGGGAAGGTTCTACCTTCGGGTTTACGATTCTTTCCGACCGACGAAGAACTGGTTCTTTATTATCAAAGAAAAAGATCTGCGGTAAATCACTCGTTGTGGATGTCATCACCGAGCTGGATCTTTACAAATTTGATCCGGAGGAGTTGTCTAGTAGGTTTTGAACTTAATTTTTAGAAAGACTTTTTGTTTAGGTGACATTTATTTGCTGACCACTTCATTATTCTACATTTTTCTCCACTACTTCATGTTTTAAATGAAATGTAGGGATGTCTAAAATGAACACAGGTGAAAAGCTATGGTTCTGCGTTAATCCCCGAAAGAGGAAGTACCCTACCCGAATGTAGCAGAGTCCAACCGAGTCACAAATAATGGATTTTGGAAATTAACCGAGAATGAACGCATCATTTTGTCCGGTTCTCGTTCAGTTGGCGTCAAGAAAACTCTTTTTTTCTGCAGAGGTCCTCCACAAAGCAGAGAACGAATGGACAGTGCATGAATACACCATGGATGAGAACGAGCTGAAAATGTGCGATACAATAGAGTACTATGCCTATATAAGCTCTTCATTTGATACGCGACCCCTTCCGGGTCATTTATCCATCTGACACCTCCCTCGAGTCGACCTGGTCACCCTCATAAAACTCAAATCCAACAAAACAGATCAATTTCATTATCAATAGGGATTGTCCCAAAGTTACTCCATTTTTATCATTAAGCAGGAGACCGATAGGCTTGTCTTTCCACTTCTCTTTTAATTAAAAGAGTGGAAAGACGAGTCTGTCAGTCTTCTGGTTGATGATGAATACGGAGTTACTGATGATGAAAATGATCCACTTGTTGGGTTTGAGTTATCTGAAGATGACGTGGGTCAAGTCGGCCCAGATGGATATGAATAATGACCCTAGGGGTCGCGTCGTATCAAATAAAGAGCTTATACAAGGCCTAGTACAGCTCGTTCTCATCACGGTGTATTCATGCACTATCCAATTCGTTCGTTCCCTGCTTTGTGGAGGGCTGTAGAAGACGAGAGTTTTCTTGACGCCAACTGACAAACTGACAAAATGATGCGGTTAATTTCTAAAATCCATTCTTTGTGTCTCCGTTGGACATTCGGGTAGGGTACTTCCTCTTCCGAGGAGTAACGAAGAACCATCGCTTCTCACCTGTGTTCATTTTAAACATCCCTACATTTCATTTAGAACTGTAAGTAATAGTAGAGAAAAATGTAGAATAATGAAGTGGTCAGCAAATAAATTCCACCCAAACAAAAAGTCTTCCCAAAAATTAAGTTCAAAACCTTCCACGCAACTTCGGATCAAATTTGTAAAGATCTAACTTGGCGATGGCATCCACAATGAGTGGTTTATCGCAGATCTTTTTCTTTAGATAGTAAAGCACCAGTTCTTCCTCCGTCGGAAAGAATCAGAAACCCGGAAGTAGAACCTCCCCTCCTCCATAAAATCGGTAACGACGTTCATCTACGGACCAATAAAGTTATCACATACGAAAACGGAAATGGCGGAGACGAAAATAAGAAAACACAAAACTCGACGAATGGGAGAGAAGGTGATTTGGTAGAGGGAGCTAAATGGCCTGGGCCATTCAAACACTACTATGTTTTTATTGAGAATTTACCTTTCGAATTGCTTAGGTAAATCTATATTTATATCTATATCTATTTCTATATAATAAGGATTAACATAAATCAATTATAAAATCTTTTTTCCGCCACTTTCATTAATTACTTGTTAAAAAAACATAATTACAACAAATCTGCCGAAAAAATGGATAATTACAACAAATCCCGCCACTTGATGCATTTCCTCTTTTCGTGGTAATTACAACAAATCTGCCGAAAAAAAAAGATAAACTAAACATAGTTTGTTGACTGTTCATTGTTTGTTCGGCTCTCATATCATGCATAATTATAGAAAATGTTTAGATCAAAAATAGTTTGTGCAAATAAATGAACACTGATTAATGAATTCCAAAGCTTACCTTCTAGACCAAGTATTCATCTCTGAATATTCGAACAGCAAGCAAAGCAAGTAATAAGTAAATATATCTGAAAGAGAAGTCATTTTAACATAAATTAAATAAAGGAAAATAATAACTCTTAACGATGCTTTATTTATCAAAAACATATAGTGAAATTATAAATTGGAACGAAAACTGATATAATCCAAATAGATTTCTATGAAATTTTTAAAAAAACTCATGAGATTCGTATCAATTGTTATTAAAAATAGTCAGTTTTTTCAATTTTTGAACTTAAACATTAACATTCAAAAAGAAGATTTTAATACACGACCAGATCTTTCGCTAACATTAGATCCTTGGATCCAACTTCTCAAAAATAGCAACGAAAAGACAATTACATATTTTCGAACAATAAGCTTCGTCAGATCCGAAAGAAAAGCGTGTTCTTTCGTCGGATCTGAAAGAGAAGAGTTTCCTTTCTGCGGATCTGAAAGAGATCTGAAATATAAACGTGTTCAAAGTCGGATATGAAAGAAATGTGTGTTCTTTCGTCGGATTTGAAAGAACAACCGTCTTCTTTCATTGAAACAGGACCTTATTTGTTTGACTGAAACATAAAGATTCAAAATAAAAAAAAANGACTGAAACATAAAGATTCAAAATAAAAAACAAGATCCCAACATGGAGGAAAAGAATCAAACTCACAAGGAAAAATTACATTTTTGGTTACGTGCAGGACCAAATGGAGGAAGCTTGATCCCTCATCAAGGTGAACTTTTTGATTTTTGCAGAGTGGCGCATAAAAAATGAGAATAAACCCATGTGGATTGGTGATATCATTCGGTCAATTTTGTAAACCTCCATAGGTGAAATCACAAACACCAACGTTAAAAGAAAACACCAAACTGAATTGATGCGCATGCATTCAGAACTTGAATTCAAATAAAAAAAACGACATGAAAGAAGTGAGTGTGTGTGGGTGCGAGTGTACCAGCACAGGCAGTGGAGAAGGTGCGAAGCTCCATTCAGCAATCAAGCACCACACAAAAACACAGAATAAGGTTTAATTTTAAGAAAAAGGGGCTATTTATTAGTGTTATGTGTAGTTCCAAACTGCTGCGTGATTTTGGGCCACTCTAATCACCTCTTGTAATGTGGCCCACTCTAATCGCCATTTTAATGTTTCCATTTTGTATTTGTTTGTTGGGCCAAATGAATTAGTATCAGAATTTTTTTGGGCCGGGTAACAAGTGAATTTGTTTGTTGATTGGACTTCATGTATAAGGCCCTCCAAGCTGATATGACTTTGATGTACCATTAAATTTATATTACTTAATAATAATAGTTTGATAAATTATTTAACATAAAATTATTGTTTGCATTAATAATCTAAATTATTTTATATACATTTAGTTGATTTTTGTTAAAATAATAATTACATTTATTTGTGCTCACAATAATTGTTAAATAATAAAAATGCCTTTTATTTATTTTTACAAAAAATATAACGAGTAATAATCCCGCAGTGCAAAATAAAGGGAAACCTGTAGATTGTATTTTGCAGATTCAGGGACATTCACCGTTATCAGACGTCACAAATGATAATTAAATATTTCAACAATTCCATTTGATATATATATATATATATAGAGAGAGAGAGAGTCGCGCTCCCATGAGAATGGTGCTCAGTGAAAGAAATAAGAATAAATCTCAACCCTAGGATTAAATTATCCAACAGCTTAAATAAAAGTCAAAATTATACCTTCATTAAAGGTATTGTGATATTTTTCCACACCACATTCAATTGAAGTAGGTCCCACTACATATTAATTCATTAATACATGTTTTAAAAATCTGCCACCTACCCATTAATACACCTCACCATCTCTATCTCACTCACACATGCATTACACACAGCCAATCCTGTACAAAAAGTTCAATCCCTCTTGCTTCCTGAAAGAAAAATAACAATTGAATTAGAAATATTAGCCCTAGAAAAGCATAAACAAATTCAGGGAAGAGGTGAAACTACGGAATGGGGCCGACTTGCTCTTGGAGCTAACGAAACTTAACTCGCCTACTTCGACCCGCGAGCTGCCGCCAAATTTTAGATCTGAATTCCGCGCGTAGCGCCGCCGTGCTGATCGTCGGAGCTGCTCATCGCTTTCTTCGCTGGGACGCCATGTATTCAAGACATTCCAGGGATTATCGATCTTCGCTCCTCAACACCAACGCGAAATATTGGAAATTGTTGGTCGCATCTCCGTACATTCTCAGCCGCAGCAGATTGAACTCGTGTCGTCATAACCGGAGATCAATTCCGATCCTGCGGGTTCCAACGGGAGAAGGAAAAAATTGGGCTGAAAGATTTAGGAATAGAGAGAAGGTTGGCTGTGAAGTGATTAGTCGGTCATTTCAGAAGCTAGTGAAACTTCGTGCGTAAGAAAAAGCTATAGATTAAATTGACTGAAAAAAAAAGGGAAAAGGCTATTTCTGTGAGTCGGTATGGAGCGTGTGCTGGAAAGTGACCGACTAAAAATGAATGAAGATATTACAATACTATCCGAAAAGGCAATTAAAACAGAGTTATTCACGTCAATTAACAATGCAACATGGCTAATATACGGCACCGTTTTGCTCTGCAACATGACTCATGAACCATAGAAAAAAGAGGAGAGCAGCAATGCGAAAAAAAGCCACGTGTAGGCCATACACCTTAATTCACAACACCACAAATGTGCCACTTGTCAGCAGTCTGTCATTTGTTCATATAAGAATACTAGTGGGGTTACCGCGCACGCACCGCCTCCAATTTAGTCAATTATAAAGTAATAATTTTATTTTATATGTTATAAATCTTTAAAATTAGTAAATTAGTAAGTGCGACCAAAACAAAAAGATTTTATTTGGTAATAAAAAGATTTAAACTCCAAAACAAAATATGTACAACCACCTATCAGTAAAGAAAATAATAAGGATAGCAAAATTAGCAACTTACCAAACTACAAAGCTAACATTTGTGTACATGAGATAGTCGTAAACATAATGAAAATCACTAAGTGGTATGCACCTGCAGTGCAGTACAGGGGAAAACGTAACTAATCAGCATTTGAATAAAATCATCTACCAAAACAACACAATAGAGAACCTGGCAAATAAAACAACTATATGGCAACCTGTTTGAAGGTACTACAAAATGCTGGTTGTCCAGATCTTTTCAGTGCATTTGCTAAAAACTGACTTTCAGCGTCAACAAAGGAAACATCATAACCGAACAGGACTCCAGCTGCAAAACCACAAAAGGCAATAGCAAGAAGACATAATGCCTTCTGCCCTTTTGAAATTGCTACCAGTAGAAGCCCGGCTAGAAGTCTTATCCTTCCATCGGAGGCTAACTACACATGCTGAGACAACTGAGTGGCCAGTCTGAAGAAAGGTTAACTACACATGATAAGAAGACGACTGTTGCCCCAGTCAATATTGACGACTTTACTCCATTTGGGGCAATGGAAGTCCAGTTTGATATGGTGACCTTAAATGCTCCAACAAGGATGACAAAGAGAACAATGAACACCTGTATTAGTATATAGTTCCATCAATCATTCGGCACAAATAACATCAGAAGAACAAGGAAACATAATACTCTCACATTAAGAAGAGGACAGTATTAACGCATATTCAGGTTAACATCCACTACTTGCTCACCTCTACCTGCTTTGCCCACTTATGAACAACAGTAATATGAACCAGAAAGTCAAAACATTCTAAATTAGTATCATTTTAAAAAGACGATAGAAAAATAGATATGAAACAACTCAATTGCTAGACTTCGTCAGTTTGATGAGATCAAAACTATAATCAATGGCAGAGACACAACACTCAAAAGATACTAAAGAAACAAACATATGTGACAACA